ATTGCAAATTGCTCTTCTGTGCCAAGGAGGATACAAATGATTGCTCGCCTATTCTCAAGATGGAACTGTCATTGTAAGCATCCTTTCTATAAAACAATATAAAATATAAGCCTTTAAATTCTCTAGGAAAATTTACCCTAAAATTCTACTTCCTTAAAGGTGCCTTCTGAAGAACTGAGATATAAATCACAGCAAAATTACAAAAGCAATTTTGGTGGTAAGTTCTTTGCTCACTATTTCTAAAAAGGAAAACAAAACTAGGCTGACAGTGGCGCACGCCTTTAATCCCAGCACTCGGGAGGCAGAGGCAGGTGGATCTCTGTGAGTTCGAGGCCAGCCTGGTCTACAGAGCAAGTTCCAGGACAGCTAGGATTGTTATGTTACACAGGGAAACCTTGTCTTTAAAACAACAACCAAAAAAAAGGGGGAAGAAAAACTGCATAGAAGGAGTGATTATTTTAATGTCAATATGTGGTTTGAGAGCTACAATTAATTAGTAAATAGTGAATATTTTCCCATTAGAAGGTGGTGATTAGGAACATGTGATTGAGAGCAGGTATGAGTTAATTCCAGTAATCCTGACTTACAAGTTGTTTAAAGGTCACTTACCTTCTTTGAATGTTTTCTCATTCTAAGTGGGACTGATGACATTATTATATAGGGACACTGTTAGACTTAAGACACTAAGTAAGGCACTTGGCACACGGGCACATTCCTCAGGAGCACTCGGCATTTTTCTTGTTGCATTACTTTAATGGCGCAAGAGTGTCTCATGGGAGAAATACCCTAACTCATTTAATCAGACCCAAACCTGTAGCTGGTCAATAGCATCAATATAAACAGTAGTAAAATTCCCACACATTTCTATTTATCATTTAGGATTAAATCCTATAAGGATGACTGCTGTAAACTTCTAACACATTATTGAACTACCTGTCAGCATCTAGGATTACTAAATTAAATATTCTCATGTCACTTTAAATAGATATATTCAATTCTTGCCAGCAATGGACTTTTTTTTAAAGATCTATGCTAATTTTTAAGGCAAAAACCCTACCCCTAATTCACATTTTTATTTCTTTTTATACATTTTGCAGTTTCTTCTCTTGTTATACTATATAGCTCTTTAAAGTATGAGAATGGCATACAAAGATAAAAAGTGAAATAGGTAAAGACATTAACAGTCTATTATAGATATGGCGTTTACAGTCATTTATCAGTGGATAAACTTTTCCAGTGTTTCTGTAGCATCTCTGGAGCCTTCCCTGTTGGTAGGGAATGACAGCTGACTGGGATAACCCATTCTTCCCTGTTCCCACTATAATCATGTATTTTACAGATTGAATTTATTGGTAGATTTTGATCTGAAAGTTTCTGCACCAGAAGAAAAATAAAATAAAATATTTTGCAAGAAAAAAGTTAAATCTCTCATTTACACCATCTACAAAAATACAATTCAGTTGAATTAAAACATTAATGGAAAAATTTCCCGTGTAACTTACAAGAAAATATGAGCCAGCATGAACTGAGCTTCGCATGAAGGGCACCACTTGTACTTAGCTTTCCAAATGTGTGCCTCTGATATCAGTTCAAAGTAGCTCTAAAGCCAAAGGCATGGGGAAACTCTGCCTATCAATAATTGTGTCAAGAGATGGCTTAGGACATTAATACCTCAATTATCTCTACCTATCAGCAAGCCAGGCTCGCCATAAAATATATACTGTAAACAATGTGCACAAACAGCAAATTATCTGTAGGACATGGTCCAGTATCCCATGCAGACCCTTATGTATTTTTACTGTTTTTATTGTTGTTGTTTTGTTTGTTTGTTTTTGAGACAGAGATTCGATAAGCACTCCAAACTAGTCCGGGACTACTTTACGTTCTTTCCCCAGCCTTCTGAGCATTAGGATTATAGACTGAGTCACCATGCCTGATTTCTTAAAGCAGACACTTGTCAGCTTCCTATCATTCGACATTCTGGAGCCATCGCTTGTCCGCTGCAAAGTCAAAACTCATTAGCACAGAGAGGTTCTGAGAAGTACTGCAGTGGAAAACAAATCGAGCTAAATGCATTAGTTACTTTTTGGTTGTTGTGATAAAACACCATGATTAAAAGCAAGGATGGGCCTGGTCAGGTGGTGGCTTTAATCCCAGCTCTCAGGAATTCAAGGCCGGCCTGATCTACAGAGTAATTCCACGACAGCCAAGGCTACACTGAGAAACCCTGTCTCTAAAAAGCAGGGGGGAAAAAAAGCAACTATGGAAGAAGAGTTTATTTTGGCTTAGGGTCTGGGAGGTGGAGAGAGGGGAGGAAGGAGTAGAAATCCATCACGACAAGGGGGCAGCATGGCTGTAAACAGACCCAGCGGCAGGGAGCAGACTGCAGTGTGTGAGAGGCAGCTGTAGGCTTTCAGAGCCGCCGCTGCCCCCAGTGACTGACTTGCTTCAGCAAGGCTGCACCATTACCTGGGGACCCAGAGTTCCACTGCCCACACCTATGGGGGAGGGCGTTTCTCATTCAAACTCCCACACTACTTTAGTCTGATTTGACTACAGGATCTTTCCTTCAACATGATGCCTATTAATCTCCATATGATTCATGGTGGACACCCTAAAAAACACTTGAGCAGGAAAGCGAGTTCTTCTTGAAGGAAAGAATACTGCCCAGCATTGTAATTTTACTGACGGAGGCTCCATTTGAAGCACTCTCTGACACAAGCTATTGAGACTTAGTGCTGATGCTGTAAATGAAGACACACGCAGATTCTATATTAACTTGCTGCTTGCCAACATAACACATAGCAAAATTGCTGATTGCCTTGGACTTAACTTCTGATATATCATCATCTGGGAAAATTAAGTGTTCAAATAATCTAAAAGGATTTATATTAGCAACCAACAGGGTTAAACGTATTTAGGCTAATACCTTTGCTCTTATCCATTAAAATATTTCTTATGCAAGTGTGAAGTACATCATGTTGTGGTTTTTAAATAATCACAAAAGAAGAATGAATTATTCTGTTTAAGGAACAGAGCTTGGGAGGGAAGGAAAAAGGGGGGGGAGAGGAGAGACTAAGACCTTTGAGAAAAACTTAACATTATTATTAGAATAATTAAGTGGACTCTTCAACCTTATTTTCTTTCCTTATGAAAGTATACTCCAGGGTCTACGTAAAGGGAGAGAAAGAGGAGAAAGAGGAAATGCAATATAAATGCAGTGACAAGCAGCCCTGCATTATTGGTTACGTATGCTCACTATTACATTAACGGTAACTTGAACTGTAAACTGTTAGGTTTATGAACATTAAGACTCAACTTCAAGACTGGCACAATAGTGTACGCCCTTAATCCCAGGAGTTGGGAGGCAGAGGCAGACAGAGCTCAGGAGTGCTATGCCAGACTCAGCTACAAAGTGAATTCCAAGCCAGTTATGACTAGACAGGGAAAGCCTGTCTTGGGAAGGGAAAAGATTCATCTTCAGCCATGTGCTGTACCTGTAATCCCAGCACGCCCAAGGTGGTGGTAGAAAGATGGAGTTTGAGGCCAGTCTGGGCTAGAGGGTCAAGAATTACAGCCTGTTGCTACATAGTGAGACCCTGTTTTAGCAAAAGAAAACAAAATCAAAAACCTCATCTGTGCCTGGGGCACAGGCCTGTAATTGCAGCTCCAGGAGAGGCAGAGACAGGAGGCTGGAAGCTCAAGGGTCTATCTGAGCTATAGGATGAGTTCCAGAACAGCCTAGGCAACGTGGACCCTGTCTCAAAACAAAAAGTAAACAGAAGGCTGGGGACACAGCTCAGTTGTACAGTTTGTTTCCAGCATTCCTGGGGCCCTAGGCTCTATTTTCAGCATTAAGAAAAGGATACAGCTTTGGAACAACTTCCATTATATTTATTATTTTATGCATGCATGTGTGCAACATACATGTGGAAGTCAGAAAGTAACTTATGGGGTCTGCTCTTCCACGGTGGAGATCTCAGGGATCAAACTCAACCTTGTCAGTGGGTGCCTTCACCCACAGCACACTCTCTCCAGCTCAGGTCTATTTCTCTATTAAATGTGTGATTGGATAACCAGGCTCTTAGAGCACATGGTTTTGCTTTTAACCCTATTTATACCACTTATGAACAGTCAAGCCAGATTTTGCCACTGGCCACCAGTTGATGCTCACCTTGTTGTTAATTTTCTCTTAAATTAGAGCAGTGGATTATGTATATGGTGAAGCTCAGTTATGGCACTTGCTAGCTAGGTGGAAATGTAAATAGATGATGTTAACCTTTTGGAGTTAAATCTTACCTACACGATAAAGACTATACTACCGACTTCGTGAGAGTATTTGAAAATTTAATATATTAAAAAAAAAAAAAAAAGTAGTCCCATAGAAAGCTCTCTTTCCCCACTTAATCCATTTCCCATTTAATCCAGGACCTCTACCCTGGGTTCGATCACTTGATTCCACTTCCTAGCCCGGGATATCACTGGGATTTCTTCCCCCTTTTCGCCTTATAGCCTTTCCACTCCCCAACTCTCGCAGCGGCCGTGGACTTCAGACTCTCCACCACATCACTCTTTTTCGCTCTTGTTTTCAGCAAGCAAACTTCTGCCCAAGGGGAAAGCGTGTCGGGACGCCACGCACAGCATCCTAGGAAATGTGGTCTCTCTGAGTCTTTCGCTTGGGCCGTAGAAGGGGACTAAACTACAAGAGAGACGCAGGTAGAAATACAACTACCGACAAGCCCCGCGAGTCATCGCCCTCTTCCTTCCTGCCCCCACCTTCCGACGCCTTCCTTTTCCTCCTCCCCTGGGGCTCCGTGTCGCTTTGCATCATGGTATTTGAAGTCCGTTCTGGACGGAAGCGCCTGACACTCCTTCGCGAGAGAGGAGCCGGAAGACTCCGGTTCCCAGAGGGCAGAGCGGAGGCGCCGCCTGCGCAGTCTCAGTGAGGGCGTGTATGTCTGTGTCTGAGGGAGAGAGCGAGAGTGAGTGAGTGTTGAGTGCGGGGTGGGGTGGTGGCCGTTACGTTCGGGGCAACGGCTGAGGCAGTGGAGAAGTGAGAAGAGAAACAACGTCCGGCGCTTCCGCCCTCGCCGAGGAGGAGGAGGAGGGACCGGTAGGGAGAGGAGGGCCGTTCGCCCCGGCCTGGACTAGACCTCGTCGGGCCGGCGGAGGTCCGGCTATGCGCCTTTGAGGGTCGCTGCGGACGCCGCGCAGAGCCGAGAGCGATGTCTCAGCCGCCGCCGCCGCCGCCGCTGCCGCCGCCGCCGCCGCCGCCGCCTCCCCCCGAGGCTCCGCAGACTTCGTCGTCGCTGGCGGCGGCGGCGGCGGCGGCTACTCCGGGGGGCCTTTCGAAGCGGAGGGACCGGAGGATCCTTTCCGGGAGCTGCCCGGACCCCAAGTGCCAGGCGCGCCTGTTCTTCCCGGCCTCCGGCTCGGTCAGCATCGAGTGCACCGAGTGCGGACAGCGGCACGAGCAGCAGCAGCTGCTGGGAGTGGAGGAGGTGACCGACCCGGACGTAGTGCTGCACAATCTGCTGCGGAACGCGCTGCTCGGGGTGACGGGAGCACCCAAGAAGAACACGGAACTGGTCAAGGTGATGGGCCTCTCCAACTACCACTGCAAATTATTGTCGCCCATATTGGCACGCTATGGAATGGACAAACAAACGGGCCGGGCCAAGCTGCTCCGGGACATGAACCAGGGCGAACTGTTCGATTGCGCGTTACTGGGTGACCGTGCCTTCCTCATCGAGCCAGAGCACGTCAACACCGTGGGCTACGGCAAGGACCGCTCCGGAAGCCTCCTGTACTTGCACGACACTCTCGAGGATATCAAACGGGCCAATAAAAGTCAGGAATGCCTCATTCCAGTGCATGTGGATGGGGATGGACACTGCCTGGTGCATGCTGTGTCTCGGGCTCTGGTGGGCCGAGAGCTCTTCTGGCATGCCCTGAGGGAGAATCTTAAGCAGCACTTTCAGCAGCACCTCGCCAGATATCAAGCCCTGTTTCATGACTTCATTGATGCTGCCGAGTGGGAGGACATTATCAACGAGTGTGACCCTCTGTTTGTGCCACCTGAAGGTGTCCCCTTAGGCCTGAGAAACATCCACATATTTGGCCTTGCCAATGTGTTACATCGCCCCATAATTCTCTTAGATTCCCTCAGTGGCATGAGAAGCTCTGGTGATTATTCAGCCACCTTTCTACCTGGGCTCATACCTGCAGAGAAGTGCACTGGGAAAGATGGTCATTTGAACAAGCCAATATGTATTGCATGGAGTAGTTCTGGTAGAAACCATTATATTCCCTTGGTAGGCATAAAAGGGGCTGCCTTGCCCAAACTGCCCATGAATTTGCTTCCTAAAGCATGGGGTGTGCCTCAGGATCTTATTAAGAAGTACATCAAACTCGAGGAAGATGGTGGTTGTGTTATTGGAGGAGACAGAAGTTTGCAAGATAAGTACTTACTCAGGCTGGTTGCTGCTATGGAAGAAGTCTTTATGGACAAACATGGCATCCATCCTAGTTTGGTTGCTGATGTCCATCAGTATTTCTACAGAAGGACTGGGGTGATAGGAGTTCAGCCAGAGGAAGTTACAGCAGCTGCAAAAAAAGCAGTGATGGACAATCGCCTTCACAAGTGTTTGCTCTGTGGTGCCCTTTCTGAACTTCATGTCCCTCCCGAGTGGTTGGCTTCAGGAGGGAAGCTGTATAACCTGGCAAAAAGTACTCATGGACAGCTGAGGCCTGACAAAAATTACAGCTTTCCCTTAAACAATTTGGTTTGTTCATATGATGCAGGGAAAGATGTCCTGACACCAGACTATGGATTGAGTAACCTAACAGCTTGTAATTGGTGCCATGGCACATCTGTGCGGAGAGTCAGAGGAGATGGCTCCATTGTGTATTTGGACGGAGACAGAACTAATTCTAGGTCTTCTGGTGGCAAATGTGGTTGTGGATTCAAACACTTTTGGGAAGGTAAAGAATATGACAACCTCCCAGAAGCTTTTCCTATCACTTTGGAATGGGGAGGAAGAGTGGTCAGAGAAACAGTATATTGGTTCCAGTATGAAAGTGATCCATCCTTGAATAGTAACGTTTATGATGTTGCAATGAAACTTGTTACCAAGCACTTTCCAGGTGAATTTGGGAGTGAGATCCTAGTTCAGAAAGTTGTCCACACTATATTGCATCAGACTGCAAAAAAAAATCCTGACGATTACACTCCTGTAAATATAGATGGTGCTCATGCTCAGAGAGTTGGAGATGTGCAAGGACAAGAATTGGAGCCTCAGCTACCAACTAAAATTATTCTTACTGGACAGAAAGCAAAAACTTTGCACAAGGAAGAATTAAACATGAGTAAAACTGAAAGAACTATACAACAGAACATCACAGAGCAAGCTTCTGCAATGCAGAAACGGAAAACAGAGAGATTAAAACAAGAGCAGAAGGGGCCGCCCAGAACTGTTTCCCCAAGTACTGTTCGCGATGGCCCATCTTCTGCTCCTGCCACCCCCACCAAGGCTCCCTACTCACCTACAACTTCCAAGGAGAAGAAGATTCGAATAACAACTAATGATGGACGGCAGTCCATGGTTACCCTCAAGTCTTCAACAACCTTTTTCGAACTTCAGGAAAGTATAGCCAGAGAGTTCAACATTCCTCCGTATTTACAGTGTATTCGATACGGCTTTCCTCCTAAAGAGTTAATGCCACCCCAGGCGGGAATGGAAAAGGAGCCAGTTCCTTTACAGCATGGTGACAGAATTACAATAGAGATCTTAAAAGGCAAAGCAGAAGGTGGTCAGTCACACTCACACACGGCTTCAGCACACCCACACTCGGCATACTCACACACGGCCCACACTGTGAAGCCAGAAGATATTGCTGTTACTGGCAAACTGTTGTCCAAGGAACTTCAGGAGCAAGCTGACAAAGAAATGTACTCCCTGTGTCTTTTAGCAACATTAATGGGTAAGAGCAATTGAAGTCTGATGGTATATCATAGTTGTGAGTATAAAATTCTGAGTTTTCCTGTTGTGGGGAGAAAAAAAAAAACAAACCTGTGGTTACCATAAATACTTAATTCTATACTATAGGAGAAAATTCTTTTATGTAGTGTTTTGGTAGTAGATATTAATATTGAGTGGATATTAGAAAAACATAACAAAATGAAAGTAGTTCTTCAACTGTCACCAGATTATTTATCAATATATTTAGATAACATTTATTTCAAAAATTGTTTAAAAAACAAATGTATCTATTTAAAGGCCTTTCTTTTTCTCCCTGTCTGAGCTCTTAGGCCTTTCCATTTTAATCCTTTTCATTTATTTTTAATTTCATTTTCCTGCCTGTCATGTGATTTCAGGACTTCCTGTTTGATGAATTACAGTTTCGGGTGTTTATAGTCTGCACTCCTACCTAATAGCCTATCTCCTCCATTTCCTGTTCTCTCTTTCCTTCATCATGTTTTTCTTATGTGGACACTAGGTTTTGTGTTTTTATTTCATGGTTCAATGACTCTGCCATAATTGCAGTGAATAGCTCATAAGAAACAAACAAAGATAGCAACGAGATTAAGAATTTCTTTTTAAAAATTCAGCATAGATTAAAGGAAAATATATTATCAGCTGAATACATGATTTCAGCCTTTAGATGACTTGGGATATGTCCTCGTGGTACATTTTATTACAGTATTTGCTTAACCTTTGTCTCCTAAGTCAGTGTTAGCGTACTTTGCCCAAGTTTTTAAGTAGGAAGTAAAATTTAAATGTTAGATGTTAGAAGGGCCTTAATTTTGCCGAGACTAGAACTGTCAGCCAGAAAGGTGCTGGCTTTTGATTCTGTTTTCTCAGACTACTAAATAGTAGTGAATTGGGCCTTGGCCCACTATAAGGAAAATTTGTTATTACTGGTTTATTAAGTTGGGAGCCTCCTAGTTAACGGGAGATCTAAAAACCGTACAAGCTTTCAGGTTGATATTGTTGATTTTAGCTTGGCAGGCATAAAAACTGAGTTGGAGACACTGACCTAGGTATTTTCTTATTTCTGAGATGCTGTGGTCTCTTAGAGACTGCCTGGAATAGAGGAATGGCTGTATGATCTTTGGAAGCAGAAGACACAATTTAACTCTTGGCCCTACTAATTCCTAACTTAGTGATTTCTCATAAACTATGAACTCCCCAATACTTCAGTTGCTTCCGTAGGAAATATCTCTTGTCGTTGATATGAGCATGAGTAAAGTATTCTCAGAACTCTGAAAAATTTAAATAACAGCCTCACAAAATGGATAAAATAAGGTATGTATAGAAAACATTTTAAGACTGGCAATTTCCCAAGTTAAAAACAGGATAATAATGTCTTTTTCTTTTTTTTCTTTTGGTTTTTCGAGACAGGGTTTCTCTGTGTGGCCCCGGCTATCTTGGAACTCACTCTGTAGACCAGGCTTGTCTCAAACTCACAGAGATCCACCTTCCTCTGCCTCCTGAATGCTGGAATTAAGGGCGTGTGCCACTACTGCCCTACTGGTAATTATATTTTTTTAATGAAAGTTATTTAAAATACCAGTTTATAATTACTTTAAAAAAAACTGATCTAAGCTTCCTGCATCCAATTTTCTGAGAACTAGTTTAGATTGAAATGAGTTCCCCAAGATGCCACCTTCTGTTCTAATCCTTTCCCTCTTCACTTTTGATACTTACGTTACTATCCACAATCTATCAGATTTTTTTATATGTATATATCTATTGCTAACACAGAATTTAAGTATAAAGGTATTTTGCTAACTTGAGAGACTTCTGCTTTAAGAAATAACACAAGCCTGGTATGGGATGCACATCTGTAATCCTAGCACTCTAAGCACGTGGGAACCTAAGGCATGAAGATCATGAGCTTTTCTTGAGCCTGGACTCCATAGCAACACTCTGTCTCCAATGATGACAACAACAACAACAACAACAACAACAAATCAAAACCCAACACAGGCCAAGTACTATGACAGGGGCTGCTCCTGTCTCTGATTGTTTTTTAATTATGTAGAGAAGGTGCTCTTTAAAAGTAACGTGTTTGTAAAAAATACTAGTTTGGGAATAGTTATATACATATGACTATATATAAAATATGGAGTATTTTGTAACTTGATGTTTAGATTGGTGATGCTAGAAAACAACAGGAGTTATTTGGAAAATTGTGAATTTCAAAATGCAGAAATAAGCTGCCTTTGTTTATTTGTTTAGAAAATAGCTTGTCAAGCTTTACAATACTTATTTATTTACCTTCTCACTAATAGTTTTGAATATGCCCTCTAAAGGTTTGAGAGATTTTTGTTTGCTATTCTAGGTAGATCCCCTTTATTTTTATATCCTATTCGTTTTCCTTACAGCATCTATTACAAACTTAATCATATTTGTTGGTTTATTTTCCCCTCCCTGTACTGGATTTGAAGTCTACAAACATAGAGAGTATAACCTGTTTTTTTTTTTGTTTGTTTGTTTGTTTTGTTTTGTTTTTGAGACAGGGTTTCTCTGTGTAGCTTTGGAGCCTTTTCTAGAACTCACTCTGTAGCCCAGACTGGCCTAGAATTCATAGAATCTGCCTGGCTCTGTCTCCCGAATGCTAGGATTAAAGGCGTGCACCACACTGCCTGGCGGAGTATAGCATGTTTTAGTGAATACCGTATCACCTGGCACATTGTATGATACCAAGCAAATGCTTGCTGAGTGAATGAACACAGATTAGTTCATCAAGATGAGTGTACGCCGTGACCCGAGACTATGTCAGGTACAAAGGTGAATGACACAGTCCCTGCCTTCTTGTGAACTTAGGCATTGTTTTTCTGTTGCTATGAGAAAGCACCATGACCAAGGCAACTTAATAGAAGAAAAGGTATATTTGGGTTTATGGCTTCAAAGAGGTAAGAGTCCATCATCATCATGGCAGGGAAGCATGGTAGCATGCAGGTATGGCATCTGGAGCAATAAGCTGAGAGCTCACTTTGTTTTTAGTGTTTCCCGACAGAGTTTCATTGTGTAACAGCCTTGGCTGTCCTGGAACTAGCTCTGTAAACTGGGCTGGCCTTGAACTCACAGAGATCTGTCTACTTCTGCCTCTCAAGTGCTGGGATGGAATTAAAGGCGTCCATCACCACTATTACGTGGCTGAGCTCACATTTTAAGATGGCACCAGAAGGCAGAGCTCACTGGGAATGGCAGGAGGAGGCTTTGAAAATTCAAAGCCCTGACCTAGTGAAGTACTTCCTCCAGCAAGGCCACACCTCCTAAATCCATGGGAACAGTACTACCAACTGGGAACTCATCAATCGAGTGCTAGAGACTGGGGGAGGGGGTGCATGAGGGGGGACATTTCTTATTTAAATCATCACAACTTGCCTGCAAGGGTCTCTGCTGAGGGAGTCTCCAGCTTTTGTAGCTTCCATTAAAACATGACCAATTTTCTTTTCTATAAACATAAAAATGATAAACCCCAAAGATAGCCAATAGCATTTAAGAAACCCCTTTGATATATATATATATATATATATATATATATATATATATATATATATATGTAATATATATATCTGTAATTGTGAAGTGTGCTGACTTGTAATAGCCAGGAACATGTATTTTTCCCCTTTTTTTGAGGGTGGTTTTGTTTGTTTTTTAGCTAATAGCTTCAGATGGTTGGGTTTATCATGATGGGAGGGTGTGATAAGGCACAATTATATCTTGTGGAGGTCATGAGGCAGAAAAAAGGGCTGTTTTGAGTTTTGTTTATTTTTGTGGTGCTAGGATTGAGCTTAGGACCTTACCTTCTTTTGGTTTTGGTTTTTGTTTTGGTTTGGTTTTTTGAGACCAGGCCCTATGTAGTTTTGGTTCCTGTCCTGGATCTCGCTCTGTAGACCCGGGCTGGTCTCGAACTCACAGAGATCCGCCTGCCTCTGCCTCCTGAGTGCTGGGATTAAAGGCATGCGCCACCACCGTCCAGCTACCTTCTTTTGTTTTTAAGATCAATACTCATTCAATAGATTTTGTATTATTTATATCAACAGAATAATACATAGGCTACTCAGTATGGGGCATTCATGGAACTAGTCACAGTTGCTTTGAATCATATGATGGTAGTATAAAATACAATAATATTTTTTCTGTGATAGTTCACATGTGCTTTTAATCCATTTTATCTAGACCACTAGAGTTTATTGAACTTACTTTTTACAGACTGCCATCTTCATATAGTATTTAAGTCAAACCAATTATGGCTTTGTAAAATATGTTACTACAATTCCTTGTAGACCAGTTATTTATATTTTGTTTTATGGTCTTATGGTAAATATGGTCTACCATAAGAATTTGGCTGATTTCTTTTTTCTTAGTATTATATTTTATTTTCTGATTATCATGGCTTTATCAGGAGGTAAAGATAGGGTTAAGTGAAAAACAAGATTTGTCTGTAGTTTATATGTCAATTTACTACTTTTGAGAAAATGGAGAAGTTTGTTGGATTTTTATTATACTGCTTTTCTTCCTGAAAGGACTATGGCTTTTTACTATATATTTTTAAAATACAGGGAGGATCTACTTGCATCAGTCCCCATCACCCAAAAACCTCTTAACACTTTGTAATTTCTTTCTTATGTATTAGTGAATGTGGTACTCGTGGTTGAATCTAGGACCTCACACATTCTCAGCAAACATATTTCTGCTTAGATATAAGCCCATTCTAATACCTCAGGAGTTTCCAAAATCACATGAGAACTCAGGTGCTTATTTTTTTAAAGAAAACATTGGCTCTCTACATTATTATTCTTTCTATATTTTTCTTCAAATGCTTGGTGAAAGTTTGAAATCTAGATCATGCTTATGCATATTGTTATTCCTTGTGTGCCATTCGATGGTTCTACTTATTTATATGTAGTACATTTGTAGTGAGAGTAGTCATATAATATGATGTTGATTTAGCACTTGATATATTTT